ATTAAAGAGCAGCAGCAGCACCAAAAAAAAAAAAAAAAAAAAAAAGGATGTGGTGGAAAGTTTTGATGATTTTAATAGACATGATTATTTGGGAGCAACATAAATTGAGAATCCTTTCTCAGGCTGACTTCAAGACTGACGAAAAACATTCCATGCCTCCGAGTCTTCTTCTAAAATCAAAAAAAAATGATGTATTACTAAGCCTAGGATGAGAAGCAGGTGTAGACCTGGAGCTCAACTATGAAGACCTGTCCTTATTCTATGATATATAAGTTACTAAATAAACAGGCACATTCCCAGAAAAATAAATCATCATAAGCAACAGCCACCAAAAGTACAACTAATATCACTGTTTCCAGTAGACTTATTAAGTATTAGCGGAATAGTTTCCTCCTACCTTTGTACAGCATTGTTCGGTAGTCTTTTCCTTCCCAATAGCTTATATTTACCCTGGTAAAAACATTGTACTTCTCCGGATACTGAATTTCAAACAACACTCCTGTTTCTGGAGATGGTTTGTAATCATAGATAGAAACACTGCTCACAGGAAGGGGTTCTGAAGGATATACAAATAAAAGGGGAAAAAAGGAAGAAAGGAGCAGATTATTAGACAAACAGAGTTCTCACATTTACAACATTGAAGAAACAAAACAAAATATTTTCCTCACAGGCAGTCTTAAATCTACAAGGTGATATTTTGGGCTTCACAAAGATCTGGGGCAAAGCTACTTAGTGTCTTGATGAAGCCAAGATTTACGTATGCCTCTTCAAAACAATTCATTTTATCAAATCTTATGCTTTAACGGAAAAAAAAAACTCTTACTTATAGCAGAATAGCCATAAAAAGCAAGGTTGAAGTAGTAGTTATTATTTAAGTATTCACATTAATCACACCAGCAAGATTTTCACCTCTAAGGCTTGCTGATCAAGTACAAGTGACCTCAGACAAAAATAACAAAACACTTGAAATTGCTCATAACTTTATCAGAACTTTTAAAGGTCACTCAGGAGCCCATCAGCATAACAGCCAAAGAAAACTACTCACATGAAGATTTTCCATTTTTATACACAGTCATTTCTGTATTTCATGGGTGATTACTTTCCCCTTCCTATCACATCAGAGAGGGCCAAGTACTTCAACGTACTTATTCACACCAAACTTCTAAAGAATATCATCATCATTACTTTAGAGATGGAGGATTGAGACACACAGAAGTAAAATAATTTAGTAAAGGACATGGGGAAGCCTGTGCACAGAAGGGCAGTAAGTTTTGGCCTTCCAAGCTAGTGCCTGAAACTTTGAACCAGAAAGAATGTAAGAAGTAAGAATAATAGCTCATATCCTTTGATGTGGCAGCTAGCCCACATCTCGCATAGCTCCATTGATTAGAGAAACATGTTAATCCACAGCACTCGAGAAAGTAGACTATTGCTCACAGTAAGAGTCGTGGGTTTATTTAGTCTTCTTTATCCATGAAAACACAATCAGAAGAATTAGGCTTTTGCTTGATGCTTTCCTCAGGAAGAAAGGAAGTGATACCATTCCACCTTTATATTGGCTAAGCGGGCCAAATAGATATTCAAAACAGGATTATAGTTTTAGCTGGAATTTGTCATACTAACATATATTAATAGAGTTAGTTAATACAACACTCTCAGTAATTATATTTACATTTCCATTAGAATAATCTTGTTTATTTAGTTCTTGCACACTATAGGAAATGGATTGAAAAACACAGACTGTTCATCAGTGTGGTCTAAGTAATTAGATCCTCACTTGGAGGATCCATTTGAGTTCAAATCCTGTTGCAATAGACCCTGGAGAAAAACTAGTTAACATTTTTTCCCCAAAGAGCACACAATCACAATAGGCAAGAGAACAGGTAGATGAAAGGCAGTGCAATATCGATTTCATAAATGGGTTCATCCCAGAGAAGGTGCAATAGGCTAAGCAAACATTGAAAAGCAAGTCAGCAGGGAAAGTGGAAAGTAGTTACCAATTACCAGCTCAGGACTTCCAACACAGCAATATGTTTCTGTATGTAACACGAAGTGGACAAGAAAAAGCAGCTAAGGAAAAAAAACACTAATACGAAAAGAACCTTGCCGAAGACTTAACCTACTGTGTCATTTCTAACCTTGTCAGTACTTGGGAACATGGGAAATCTTCCGAGATGGTCTACTCTTGTGGGGATTCTTATTCTGTTTCTCATGGCAAAAGCTGGCTTAGCTGCAGGTACATATCTGTATATTTTTATGTTAACCACTCACAAATAGAAGCTAGGAGCACCACAAATACCAAGAGGCTTCATAGTGGCAAAATCTGTGAAAATTTTGCTGACAATTTGTGATAGCCTAGAAATGAATAAAATCAGCAATAAAGTTGATCACAAAAAAAAAGAAAGTCTATGCTCTTCTTTCTACTGAGTCATTCCCTACCACTTATTCTGAAATAAATATGTGAATCTGGCTATCCACATGACCAGAGGGTGCATATCACAGCTCACACAGCACATGCTAGTACTTAAAATGTCAATAGCTTTCTCTAAACACCACAACTCTTAGCTGTAGTCATCTTTCACGTTAGCCGGTATGCCTTGGGCCTTCTTCTGCTGTCTCATTCAGATGTGAGCTTTCTTTATTACTGTAAGAATTACTGAAACTTTCCTATGTCAGTGATTAAATTACTCCATTTATTCCTTCCTACAACAAATCAAATAAGGGATGGAAGTTACATTCAATTTTAATCCAAATTATTTTTGCTCCTGATGTTTTGATTTAATTAACGAGTAATAGAATTAAGCAGTAATCGCCATAAACTCTTTCTTGCTGTTATCTTCTGCTTACTATCCTCTCCTTGCTCATGGCTGATGTTAGCAGAGTAACATGAGTGACATAATGCAATTTAAAGATTCTTCCATCATCTTACTTCCTTCAGCACCAAATCTTCACATCAAAAGCTATTTGCACACTGTGAAATTAAAAGGACACTCAGCAGATAAAAATCTTGTTCTGTTTTTCACTTACTGTTTTTAAAGCTTAAAGAATATGTAACATGTCATTCTTCACCATCTGTATTTACAATTTAGAGCATAGATATCTCATCATTTTCATTTTTCAATTTGCAGCATTTAGGATCCATGTTTTTACAGATTTCAGTGATTCTCAAGAAATAACCCAAAAAAGACATAAAATAACATCAAAAAATCTTAAGGCTGCATTCTCTGCACTACAGTGATGTTAAGACACATTACAAAAGGGACTTAGAGGATTTCAATGTCCCTGTAAAACTTGTTTAAGATCCTTTTTCAATTTTCATTTTTAGACTCTCATACAATATTAAACTCACATAGACAAGCTTGAAAGCAGGATCTTTTTTTTTGCCTTTTTGTCTGTGGCTCCCTTAGCAACTGCTTTCTTATTATTTCTGTTTACAAGAAATTTAACTTCTGCATTTCTCCTGGACTCTTTGGTGTTTTGTATTTAGCACATAACTTGCATTATACAAACATCAAGATGGCATAATGAATATTGCTAACTTCCTCCTCAAATGCCCTGGCCAATTCTGGTTGCTTAATCCTCTATAAAAGCATTCAATCTCTGCCAGACACATGCATGTTTTAGGTGGCTGCTGCAATCCAAGAAAAGAGAAAGTAGATTGAAAATAACTACTATATTCTAGTCCAAATCAATTCCTTTTTAATATTCATAAATCTGGTCACTCTGCAAACTTAATTATTGATTACTGTGGTAGGATAGATGTAGTATTATACATGGCTGGGAAAAAAAGGACCAAAATCAGCTGTCTAGCTTCTCACACCCAAATCCAGGCTAACCAGGACTTACCTTCATACTCTGACTTTTATAAAAAATACGAAGTCTTGTTAGTGGAGGGATCTAACTCCAAAGGGTAATTCCTTTACTCACATGAAAAAGTTACAATCTACACAGCATTCTCCCCCCGATGTGATTATTTACTTATCTGTATTCTGTTACTGGGAGTAAATCATAGGCAGGATGAAGCTTCTGTTACGCTATGTACTTCAGAGATTATTTTATCTCTTGCTAGAAAGCTGCCAATTTTGAGGTGAAACAGCTGCTGTTTAATATTGTAAAAATATAATGTTCAAGTTTATGATTGCTAATGGAGGATATCGCATGCTTACAAAGGGAAAATATAAGAGGGGGTAAAACACAGCAATGGTCTTGGATACTGTAGCTTCTAGATGTCCATGTAAGATGACAAGACCATAGGGACTAAAAAGTAGTACTGGCACATGAACAAGATGTATCTATTGGTTTTGAACAGATTTAGGCCAAGACTTTAGATTAGCCTGCTAGTGGAAATAATGGTCGGAAAACACCCATATGAGTATTTGTTTGTCTGTTTGATTGATTATGACAGGAGGCCCTCATAAAAAAAAAGCTTATATCATCTGTTTGCTGAGGAGAGCAAAAGATTGTATGAACAGATTTAAGATGTACTTCTGAGATATGTTTCAAAATTGGGGCTCCCACAAATAGCCAGCCTTTCTGAAATATGCCACATCATTCTTAAAAAAAAAACACACAGACACAAAGGGCTTGAGTTTTACATTTCATCAATGAAATGATGAACAACCCTGAAGCATCTACTTTAGAAGCTCTGATCCATTAAGGCCTTGGAAGAATGGATTGAATCTGCTGAATCACTTCCTGCAGCCAAGCATTAAGTAAGACTAACGCCAATTACTTTCTAAGAGCTGAAGAGATCACAGTCCCAGGTGGCAAGCCCGTTGGTCTCTAAGGGAGAATATTTTCTGCTGAAGACACAGAGGCTGAATTCTCCCTAGGGGGAATCTATTTTATGGAGATTTAGGTAAGAAGTCACCGACTTTTGGAACAATGAGACATTTACCATTCAGAGCTCCTAATCAGAAGCAAAAATAAAAGTAAGCACTCTTCTTATTTCCCCTCACACATCCTGAGTTCTCCAATTCCCAGCAGAAATATATTTTTCCTACAGCACACAATAGCTTTGCAATGTATTGCTTTCTCCACTCCTTCAAATGTGGAAACATTTTTTTTCCTCCTGAACAAGCAGAAATATTGAAAATGAATTAAAAAAAAAAAAGGCAATGCAGGTATGAGTCACCTTGGAAATGAATAAAACAAGCCTTCAAGCTGGGAAGGATCAAGGGTGAGAATTTCAGTCACTGGTTTTAGAGCCATGCTCTTTATCGCTCTCATAAACTTCTTTAAAGCCTATTAAAACTAAGTTGAAACTTGCTTTCAAATATTGCAAAACACTGAATTCATTATATAAATTCTTGAGTCACTTCATTCCCACTGAAAACTTTAAGAGCAGAAGAAAGCAGTCTTGAAATAACACAGTCTTACATATTAGAGGTACATCTAACTTTGCCCAGATTGAAATTCAGAAGAAAGGTCATTTTGATATGCAAAACACGACTGTGCACAGAGGAGTCTGGCCAGGACAGGAAGATTAACACACCCGTTCTTGTGAAAACCACCACAGGGATATTTAGTGACAGGTGGTTAAGGTCTCGGTTCAGTGTTTTCTCCTTCAGCAAAGTTTGATGCTACATAATCAGAATAGGAATAAAAAGTACTATTTTGTGATCAAATTCTATTTACAGGTTTCCTAAGAGTTGAATGTGTCCTTTTCTTCTCATGCTTATAAAATCCCATCTCGGGAAGCGATGTGAGGATGTGGACTGTGTTCAAGCTGACAAAACCCTTAGGCACTGAGAAGAAATATCGCAATAAATAGGTCAGGCTTTGCATTACAATGATCTGGACTACAGAACCTGCACAAGGGAACTCTATAGTCTATGTAGTTTTGATTAACAGTGAGAAAACCCCGAACAGAGAAAAAACATTTTCACAGTAACTGATACCTGCACAATATTATATTTTTCCTAACTTCAGATGCCCTGGAATTACTGTAACTTTTCAGTAAAACCCACTGTCCCAAGCTTAAGTTGAAATTATCTTCTGTTTTTGGAAATAAACTGTTCAGTCTTGAAGGCCCAAGTTTATAGTTAGTGTCTCAAATTATAGCATGCATAAATATCTGCATGTACATGGCTATATATAAATATAAAGACGCATGTAAATATGAAATATATATAATTATATGTACGCATTCTGAGAGCTTTTACCTCATCTTTATCTTGAGTAATCTCTTTTTTTTTTTCTCCTTAAACAGAAACCTTTGAGAAATAAGACTAAAGTCTCCTCTGGCTTGAGTGTGATGTAGTTTCAACGTGCGAAGAGACATTTTTCTTGCCAACATGCTGAGAAGCAGCACAACACAGGGATGTAAAAAGGAAAAAGGGAGCCTCAACAAGATATACCACTGGAAAACAGTTTTCTTCCATGACCTTTATTAAATTTCTGAGTAGACATTCTTTCTGAAGCATCTTGCTCTCATTTTGACAGGAACAATTTGGGTAGTCACTGCTCTTTCTGATTCCGAGATCTCTAGCACAGGCCCAAACTGAAAGATTTCATCTCGTTGCTCTGGCTCCCTTACAGATGTCATGAGATCCCGCAAAACTATTGTAAAATGTGAAGCACAGCCTTGAGGAAAAACACATTGGCATCGCTGGCTACCCTGCTTGATTTATCCTGTAGCGGCCTAATGAATGGGGCCAATCTATAACTAGTAAAGCTCTCCTGATATCAGTGAAATTATAACAGGAATTAATTTAATCCTGGTATTAGTTGCAATGTGTCATTTTTTTTTTCCATGAGTAAGATATAGACAGAACAAATGAGACAGCTATATGTTTTCTCAGGATCAAAATAAACTAATGATGCTTAACAGGCAAAAAAAGCGTATGGCATGAATATTATACGAAAAATACAAATCTACCCTAGTTACTGTATCAACTGCCAACACTCAAGTTATTTAACAGTAAGAAAAATCACATGGAACAGACAAGTGGACCACAGCAATAATAGGAGAAAAAAAAAGCAAGGAAACCAAACATCATCTAATACAGTAGAAACCTCTGGTTGGTATCAATTTGAAGGGTTCTTCTTAAAAATATTACACTGAAACACCATTAAAAAGCCCAGCCTGCCAAACTGTCTTTTTACTTTGAATTTACTTTCATTCCTATACCCTTCTACTTGAAAATGAATACAGAAATTCTTTTTCTTTTCCATAGCCTAATTGTCTTTCTGTTGAAACATACGATAGGTCTGGGTGAGCAGCAGAGGCCACGGCAGCAAACCCTAACAAGCTGCCAGAGCACTTGCATGAAACAGGTGGTTAAAAGAAGCAGGCTCATTTCCTATAAGAAATGCAGTGTACAACCAGCTTTTGGACACCAGTAAGTCTTACTCAGAGGGGTTGAGAGCGGCATGGGCTATGCTCTTTGCAGCCAACAGCCTCACAAGCTTTTAGGAACACCTTAAGGAGACACCTTAGGGGGCTGGAAATTGAATGTCTGGGGCTGGATTTGATGGGCTAGGTGACACCAGTTCCTTCCTTCAATGATTTCCTGAACAGGAGCTCTATGGTCCATCTGCCATCCTGGATCACACCTTCCCCAAAGTCAAAGAAAGGGAAATTTAGGCTGCCAGTGAAACCTTAAGCTGTCCACTGCACATAAGTATTCTTATACACGTCTAATGACATTGTCATTACCCCATGTACATGATATTTTTTTCCTGGGACTCGTCTTGGTCGTCCTTGTTAGTGCACAGACTGAACATACAAGGGAAGATTAAGATTGCATGGGTGATGCAAAAATCTGCTATCTCCTACATCACAGGCACTAACTTGGTAACAAATAAGGCTATTGTAATATTATTTAAGGTTCTTATTACAATGGATACTATTTGTTCATAGAATAAGTACACAAAATCATAACCATCTCTTACCTACAAGCCAAGTACAACTCTCCACAGATTTAAAGGTCTCATTTTATCAAAAAATACACTCATTATCCAAAAGTTCCCTCACAGACCTTTACAATCAGCTAGAGGAATTATTAACCACCCTCATGTTGAAAATAGCGTGCATATGTCTATATGGCAATGATTCATCACAAAAATCCAAACATGATTTAGATTAAGCCTAGGTTTATAACAGAACAAGATACAGGATTTGATTCTACTTCTCTCTGATTATTTTTGCTTCTCTTTTATTTCTTTTGAATCTGTCTTTCAGATGAAGAAATCATTTTATCCTCTACAAATTGTTCTCAGTCTGGCACATGTAAGCAATGCTGGAATTTCAAACAGGAATCTGTGGTGCTTCTCATGATGACAGAGTAAGCAAAATCACACCTGTCCACCAGGATCAAAGTACCTGGAGGCAGTAGGAGAGAGAGAGAATACTCCATTGCAGAAATCTTCAGCTCTACTACCAGAAACACATGGTCTTGGAGACTGCTGTCTGCTTTCCATATGACTTCAATGTATTATCAAAGAAAGAACATTGTTATGACATCTAAAGCAGAACGTACATCAACATGTAACAAGAGTGCTTACACTGAAATGTCAATCAATATGTTTTGAGCCTTTTATTAGATTTTGAGAGCCTCTGGATCACAGTGGTTAGGATAAACCTGGAGAAAAGGTTCATCATCCCTCCTACTTTGGTGCAATCAATTTCTCTAGTCTGTTCAAGAAGAGTCACCCACAGGAAACCTAAATTTGCCCCCTTCCTCTTGCCCAGACTTTTCAAATTTTCACTCATAAGCCTCCTCAGCACATCTTCTCTGCTGTTTTCACATAGAAATTCACCTATACACAAGGATGACCTATAAAACAAAAACAAAAACAAAGACTTCTCCACAAGGAGAACTTCTGAAAAAAAAAATCCACACACAAAGAGAAGAAACAGAAGAAAAAAAGAATAAGGTGTTACTTACTGGTTAACACAGTGATTGATCTTGCTGACTTGGAAACCATATTTGAGTTCACTACCAACAGAGTTACTATGTAATATAGGCCATGGTATTTGGCATTAAAAACCACAGGGGCAGGTAAAGTGCTATTGAATTCTTCGAACTGGAAAAAGTAGTTCTTGGATTCTCCAGCTATCTTCACAACATATACAGAGGATGAGCTCACCACATCAGATGCTTCCAGGGAGACAATGATACAATTGTCTTCTCGGACAGTAACTTGGAAAGGTTCTGCATTCTGCAAAGAAAAATAAAAAGATTGTACTGAACTAAAATCCATTGTTTACTTTTCTCCTTCTCTGGAGATCTTCCAAACCTGCCTGGATGCCATCCCACGCCATGCGCTCTAGGTGTCCCTGCTTGAGCAAGGGGGTTGGACTAGATGATCTCTAGAGAGAGAGATCTCTCGAGAGATGATCTCAACCATTCTGTGATTCTGTGTGTGATTCTCCAATTTCCTTTGATACTCATAGGATGACCATGTTACCTTTGAGTTAAGGTGACATTTCATATTCCCCAAGGAAGCTAACATCAAGTCCTGGCAATTTCTTTAGAATTAAATTCACAGGCAGCTGAGATCCATGGCCATTTGACTATAAAGCTTTCCCTCTGCCTAGTTCCTGCTATGTTCTTTCTAGTGCTCCAGCCACACCATTTTTTTATAAACCAAGGAACAAAGGTTCCAAGTAGCAGCAGCAAGAGGACTTTCAATAAAACCATGAAGTGCAATAGTAAGCCATTAAACTAAAAAAAAGGGGAAAAAGAATACTAACTAACTGATCCTGTTGCATTGCAGACATTGATCATATACTCTTCAACTCAAAACAGTCTAAGAGGCTGCTGCTGAAATGTAATTTTTGGCACTGGCTAAGCATCTTAGGAATACGCCTTGTTTCAGCATGAGTCAGGTCACTGGCTCTCAGAATTAGGCACTATGTCCTTGGCTTTGGTTGGCACTTTACATTTACTATGCTGCATTGTTTCACTTTTTTATTATTAGTAGAGAGAAAATGAAGCAATTTAATCCTGTTTTCATATATCATGAGTATGATAAGTCATTGCCAGCTGAAAACACTTTCTTTTTTTATTAATTGCAAACCAGCTGTCTGCAAGAAGCACTTCTCTACAGGAATTTTCAAAACAGATTCATGATAATTAATGAGAAATAAAAGTTCAAGCTTATATCAACCTCACATTTTTTTGTTGTTGTTGTTGTTTATGAGGCTGCACTGATGCTTAATTTTTTTTTACGCCCAGGGAAAAACAGGATATATGTTTTTTTTTCTATTCCTAACTCCAAAGGAAGTTCTTCCTTCATATTTCACAGGCTGAGAGCTCTCTTGGAGGGCTTTATTATTGGGCTTTCAGGTTTCACAGTGTACGTAGGGTCATATTCTCTAAATTTCCACAGGTATCATTAGAATCAGAAACTGAGCTGAGTATACAATGAAATCTGGAATTATCTTAAAAAGAAATGAATCCAGAAACTGAGACTCTATGGTAAAAACATGTAAATCTTTTAATATTGGCAATAAAATATCAAGAGCTGGCTAAGTTATGCAGAGTCCAGAACTCATAAGTGACACTGTAAGGCAAGACTCCTGGACTCAGGGTATCTAATATTTAGCCTTATAACCCACTTCAGGAGTCACTCAGAATTGTAAAAGATACATTTTTTTTCCTATGTTTAATTGATGCAGTGATGTCTACCACCAGAGACACTGAAATAGCAGGCTTGAGAAGAAGGGACCACAGGAAAAACCCTGTTCTGCCACAACACGACAACAAGGTAACCAGTACATAGTAAGTCCAGCCCAAGTAGAACCCCTCCTCAAATCTAAATATCTCAAACCTAAGATTAGAAGTAGAGGAAATTCATCTTAACTATTGATTTGAAGTATGATTTGATTAGCCTCTAAAAAAAATGACTTAGAGTGCTAAGATGATACAAACCAATGTTATCAGTGGATGAATTGTGAAGGTTTTGGTAACAGTTCAGAGATGGCCCAGAAATTGCTCAGAAAGATTTACAACACAGAGCAGAGTTTTGCAAAAGCTTACACGTGTTTACCTTAGCAATGGAATCCAAGACGCTTACCCTTTAAGTAGATCAAAGCACTGCATTTCAAATTTCCACATTTTGCCCTATATCCCAATGAAGCATTTGGAACTAGCCAATATGACAGGCCAAAAGATTCAGACTTTTAAGAGAGTATTATATTTAGAGCTGCTCAGGAAAATTGAGTCTTCTTACCCTTTTTCATCCCCATTTTCCTCTCACTAACAAAATTTGGAAGAATTCTTCCAGCTCTCCTGATATGAGCAGACTTGCTTTCGGAGGCCGATGCTCTATCCTGCCACTGAAAGAAGGGTTTTCTTCCAAGAGCAAGCAAAGAAAGGCAGCCCTGGTTCAGCAAGGTTATTACAACATAATAACCTTGAAGTCCCTGTGCAATCGTGCAGACATCAGTGGGTTTTAACCTTCCACAGACTTGCATTTAAATGCCTCACTAGAACAAAGTTAACCGTGTTACTCTAAAACTATTCCAGTCTTCCTGCAGCTCTGCTGCCGAACTGCGTGATACTAACCCAATTTGCCTGCCTTGCTTCGACAAAACACGCAAAAGAGCCCAACAAATCCATGTGTGCCAACGAACACAGTTCAAAGCAAGTTCCCTGTGTTTGGGGTTATTATAAATCATTTGTGATGTTAATTAAGTACAGCTGGAAATTAAGCATATAATTGCAGTTACAGGCATTCCTAGAATATAATTAGGTGCTTTCAGACTGCTCATATGGGGTGTGATTTTATTCTTTGATTCTCTCATGGGCATTGTATTCAGCACATCAAAGACTGTATACCTTGACTTCCCCCCCCCACAGTGTTTTCTGGCATTCATAGGAAGTACCAGTCAGCAGATGATCTGTAAATCTGCTGCAACAGTTTTCAGACAATTAGCATAATAAGCTAGTACCAGCTAAATACATAGAAACCTCACATATATCTGCTGTTGCTACCTAAGAGGAGACCTGACAAGGAAAAGTTACAACTTTTAACATATATACACAAAGAATTATAACTTTAGCACTTAAGTATGAGGGCACTGTTAAATGGTAGCCTCCCTCCTTCATGTGCAGTGCCCAGATGCTGTTACACCACTGCATGAGTGATGTATATGCATTTCTTGAGTGGCATCTCATCATTAGTTGTGTGGCTCATCCATCCCACGCCTGCACCCACCTGCATAATGCACATCTCCTTTGAATGATATCTATTCTGATATGATCACATGCTCTTCTCCCACACACATGTATGCCTGGGCTTTTAAGCTCCTGCATGAATAGGACACACAGTTTTTGTGAGGTATCTATTGTCTCTTGAAATAATTTCTCTTTCCATTTTAGCACAAAGGTTTGGTTTGTAAAATGACGTGAGACAAAAGGGATGAATAAAAGCCTTAGCAATCAACATGTCATAGGACTAGATCATTTATCTCCCTTGGGGATATGCATTTAACTTTAGCAAGCACTGTTTAAGAACAGACCATTCCATGCACCCCCTCCTTCGTGCTGTATGAGGGGAGCCTTACCAACCAGCACTGGGCTGGAGATTTTGGGAAAAAAGGCTAGGACAAATCCAGTGTTTTTTTCTAAGCACCACTGAAAGTGACAAACATGCCCCACTTTTAACTAGATTGTAAAGTCAGTGTGTCTTAGGACTGACAGCATCAGTATGGTAAATACACATTTCATTACTTCTGGTCATCTAGCTCTAGGATTTAATTTGCTGGTGTCACAGCTTGAGCGGCTGTTTCATGCCTGTGGGGAAATTTGGCAGGGTTTGCGCATTCAGAACCAAATGACTGGCTACAACTTCCTTCCTAGTTTATTATTACAAGCTCGTGCCACAGTAAAGCACTTAGAAAAAAGCAGGAGGGGTAAATCCCACAATGTAGTGCCTGTTCAGTCAATTGCAGTGCAGGGATGAGTCACGCTAGTGGAATTTTGAGCCAATAACACAGTCCCAATTAAAATAAAAAGGACAGGGAGGCAAGAAAATATGTGAAAAAAAAAAAAAAAGAAAAAAAAAGAAATCAAAGGCTAATGGGAAAGAAACACCTTGCCCAGAATTCTTTTTTAGAAGTCTATATCTTCAGTTTGTTTCCCTCTAATAGCATGGGTTTTATAACTGAGGAAGAGATTAGTTTCAAAACAGCTACCAATTTTTGTACTTGAGCTTCTGAATACATGACTGTGAAACATATCAGACCTAGATCTGAGCACCGAAAGCACAAGTAGCTAAACGTTCTACTCACTGCAGGAGGAGCAGGGGATGCTCATCAGCTCTGAAAAAATGGCCTTCGGGTACCAGTAACTGCTGATTTACCAGTAAGGGAAATCATGTTACCTTCCACCAGACAAGCAGAACTAAGGCTCTGAACAAATCTGATTTCTGACCACTCGCACAGAGTTTCCAAAGTTGGCATCTGAAATCTCAAGTAGTCAACTTTGAAGCTACAAGCATCAACTTCTTGGAATAAAGATCATACACTTTATAATGCTCATCAAAACTAACATCAAAGTATTACAAAATAATAATTGCACTATATCCAGACCTGCTGGCTAAATTACTGGCTATTTTAGTGAGTGATTCTACTATATCCAGATGTATTTTGTCCCAACGGCCAAAATGGCTAATTTTCTTCCAAGTCACATAATAACTCAGTCCAGCCTAGATTTATCTTACCTAATTTTAGGTACTTAATTGACACTTAGAGGCAAAATGACCTTTTCAGACAGAACTACCTGTGGATTCATCTCAGATCTGAATTACTTTTGAAAGTGCAAAGAGCAGCTGAAGGGTCATCTGAAGTACTATCCTCATAAGGAGGGAAGGCTTGGAATCCGATTTCAGAATTTCTGTCCTCTGCTATAGTCTTTCAGGACATAGGAAATCTCCTCAGCGCACAGGAAATTTCATAAAATTATTATTTCTCCATCAGCTTCCTAATGTAAGTTGCATATGTATCATTTCCCTGTGATGATGACAAATGATACTGAACAGCCATTACAATTGAATTGGTAAACATACTTCTACTAACACACATTATTGGTTCATTGTAGTTACTGCGAAGTGAACCAAGAGACGGTCAAAAGCTAAAATCTGATCTCCTCATAAATTGGACTAGACATGTACTCTATTTGGTAATTTTTTTTTTTTTTTTTTGCTTCTCTATG